TAATGATTACATTGCATGTTGTTATTGCCTCATAGGTTGGTCTAAGTCGTATGTTTTAAAGACAATTGAGTGTGTTTGAGAAGAACTATTTTACTTGGTGATTGGAGTTGATAGCAAAATTCTTATACTTAGATACGACATCATGATGGATGTAGTGAGTCGTATGAGGTTTGTATTGATTTTAAGGGTTACGGTTCATGTATCTTCGGCCAAAAGATCTGAGATTGGAGACAACACAGATGATTTGGATAAGTCCATATAAGGTATATGGACTTGTTGGGATGATGTTTAGGGGTTCTCGGAGGCTCAAGTAAGTTTTGTGTTGTTTGGAAAAGGTTTTTAAGGAAAAAACAAGCAAAACCAGTAATATATATTGCATCAATAACTATTTTAGATGTTTTTGCAATTTCATTCACTTTTCAGCACTTATATAAATAGCCCATTTCGAGTTTATTTTACCATTATGGGAGCTAGAGAGTTCGAATTGAGATAATTTTGGAGGAAATTTCATCTACATTATTCGAGTAAGTAATTTTAACTCGAATCTATGATTATAGAATGAACCTATTATCAATTTTGCCTTAGAATCAAGGATTGAAAGAGAAAAAGAGAGTCTTTGATTTGAAAATAAAAGAAAGAACTTTTTTATTTGAATATCAATCTGGACTCGAATTAAGAATCCAATTATATATTTAGACTCGGGAGACTATGGATCATAGAGATTTGACTCTTATTTCTGGGTTTGACCATATAAGCACGGGGTTGACTTTTGTTGATTTTGACCAAGATCGAATCTTTTGCTTAACAATTGAGTCCTATGAACTTGTTTGATATTGTGGAGAATTCTCTTAGCTAGATCGGACTCGTTTGACAGACTTAATGCAAGAAAAGATTTATTTGGAAAAATAGAGCTAGCATGGGATAGAGAAAAGTATCTTTGTTGGCTTTGATGAGTATTTTTTTCTAAAAAATAGTCTTGTTCCTATGTTCTACGTGTTTGGGCATAATACATATGCGAAGTTACGAGCGTATATACGGATGTCAAGGTTTATCCATGATTAAGGTAGTTTATTAGGCCTTCTTATGCCTTGATTTACTACATGCCTTATATGTTGCATGTTTTACCTATTGTATGACTATTTAAGCATATTATTTATGCTAGTATAATCTTATAGGCATTCTTTATATGCTGATTTGATATTATTGATTTCATGTACCGGTTTTACATTATAGAACTACTTAGTCATACACAGTTACTTATATGCACCTTGTTAGCATATTATTTGTTCTCATTACCCATTAGAGATTATTTTGATCCATGTGAGCTATTTAGGGCGTGTGAATTTACGTTCCTATTTGTAATATCAAGTAGGGTGTGTGCATTCAAGTTCCTGATTAAGATATTAGTTAGGGCATGTGGATCTGTGTTTCTATTTGAGGTATCAATTAGAGCATATGGATTGACGTTCACATTTGAGGTATTAGTTAGAGTATATGGATTCATGTCCTGTTGCACATGTATTTTGATCCATCCCTCTACAGTCACGTGAACACTCTTTTTATCTTAGATTGTGTGCGCATGTTCAGGAATCAAAGGGTTTCTAATTTGATCATGATACCAGATGATGGGATTGAGCATAAAGGTGGAAGCTTTATTTTTTTTAAGTGATCCTTTATGAATATTTATGTATTTTTATATGCTTTATTCATGCATATCTTCTATATATATTTTTTATGCATTCTCACACATGCATAGAACTTGTTAGCAGGCTGTGGATACTTGAGAAGTGTCGGTTTGATGTAAAGATTGAGTCTTTATCATACATACCTGATATTAGGCTCTTGTTGATGCATTTTATATAAATGCTACTTGATGCATATTCTTAGATATACTAATTGACTACATTGATACATGCATGAGACACATGTTCAGTCGGGATAGAGTGCATCTATTTGCCCATATTGATAAATGCTTTGAGTATGATTAGCTTGTTATGCTGCTTTTGTGCATTCCCTCTTTTGTTGCTCTGTATATGAACTACATAAATTTATAAAGTAAGTACTTTTTAACAAAACCATTGCTACTACTTCGTTGAAGCCGGTCAAGATGCTTACTAAGTATATTAGGTCAGTTGTACTCATAGTAGTACACTTTTATATATTTTTGTACAGATTTTAAGCCCTGTACGAGCAGTACTCACGAGCTGTATGTGACCGTCGGGGTGAGATTTTGGATTGAATCATAGTACCTTGAAAGTCTTCTTATCTCATTATTAATGTTTCTTATTCCAAATGGTAATGTACTTATTTAGACGCATGTATTATTTGATTGTAGTAGCTCATGACTTGTACTACAAGTTTTTAAGTAATGAATCTAAATATATGATTTGTTTTTTAGTCGTAGTCCAAAAAGTCATTCAATTTCTTAAATTTTCAGTTTAGGGCTTAGAGATTAATCTCATAATTCTCAAGTTCAAATCTTTCAAATCAAATCTAACCTATACTTTCACGACTTAAATTCCTAACAAGGTTGTGATGGTTCCTAACCCCAAACTATTAGGTGAATCAACATGCACAACCAACAAATCTGGATACCAGACATAAACAAATCTAAACATAAATAACATTATAATACATAAGTGCGGAATAACTAATGCAACCTCATGAGTAATCCAAAAATCTATTGGTTACTTTAGCCGTACTTACATTTAAGAGATGTCTATAGGAGTAATTGACAATGTTGTTGCATATTTTGCTAAGGTTGAAGGTGTTTGAGTGAAATTGGACGCAGAAAACAATAGAGAAGCTGCGCGCTTAGCTTGGATACGAGATAGGTGAGGCTTTTAACCCATTGATTGCTTGCTTTTTGAAAAGTATTATTTCAATTTTGCATAACTGTTTTAGAATGATGTCAGTATATGATGTGGCAAGAACATACTTGGCAATAACTACTACTATCTCCGTCTCAATTTATGTAACACTTTTTATTATTTAGGCGAAATGGCCTCCTGACCACTTAAATTTGTACCAATTTGTAAAAGTCGATACATAAACTTACAGTTTTCTTATTTGAACACTCCTACTTGACAGATCGAGTATCAATAAATACATCCAATAGAGCGTATATATCAATTGCCCTGACATGTACAATACGTCATATGTTAGACTATTTATTACTTGACATGTGATATTTGTGGGCCCCATTTTTAAATACTAAATCAACAAAAAAGAAGTTATAAATTAAAAACCGAAAAAAGAAAAAGAGGAAAAAAATCCGACACTTCTCTACTACCCCAATAACCGTTCACCCACCTCCCTTCTTTCTTCTCCGTTCGCCCACCTCCGTTCCTTTCCTTATTCTTATTCTTTCTTCTCCTTTCTCTTTTTCTTTACTGTTCTTTCTCTCTCTTATTCTGAATCAAATTCACAACACCACTATGGTTATGATTAGACAAGGAAAAAAAATTGAATTTTGGAATTTCAGAAAAATTCAATAGGAATCCATGATTTTGAAACAGTGGAAGCCGCCCAATACCATTGCAAATATCTGCCATTTTTTGTTGTTGTTTTGGCAAAGAGATTCGATATAGGGTTTTCTTCAGACTACCGGTGACTTAGAGTGGTGAGTGCTTTCGACCACCAGAAAACTTCAGTGGCTGTCACCTCCACTTCACTGGCAACCAATCATATAACCCCATCTTTTCTAAAAACTCCAAAATCGTAAGATATACGTAAAAATACACAATCTTTATATCGAATTTGGCCGGAATTGAACTTTCTGATGCTCTCTCTCCTCGCTTAAGCTGAAGAGAAGAAAGAAAGAGGAAATGAGTACTAACATGCTAGGGGTCATTTCTTTCTTTCTTTTTCATTTTTTTCCTATTGATTATAGTATTTTCTTTAATCAGATTATTGCAGTCACGCGCATATTCTGCGTGATTGACACACATTTTGTCCACATCATCTATATCACCACCACATAAGCATAGTTAATGGTCAAGGTGGTTTATTAGTACTCATTCCGTCAAGTTGGAGTGTTCAAATGGGAAAATCGTAAGTTTATTTATCGGCTTTGCAAACTGGTGCAAGTTTAAGTATCCACGAGGCCATTTCGCCTATTATTTAATCAGTCTAAAAAAGAATGACACATTTCTATATTCGATAATAATTTAACTTTAAATTTTCTATTTTACCCTTAATTAAATAATTTCTAGCCACAAAAATATTTATAATTCATTTTGGACCATAAATTTTAAAAGTGCATAGTGAAACACCTTAAAATAAATCGAAAGAAAGGGAGTAAATAACTACTAAAAGTGACTACTAATTTGTCCTATTAAGCTTTAATGGGTAATAACTCTACGTTTTTTTTTAACCGTTAGAGCAAATTAACAGTAGAAAGCTTTTTCATTGATGCTCTTATTATTAATTTGTCTTATTTTCTTAGATATAACCACTACAAAAAAAAAACAGTGTTTAGCGACGGATGTATTCTGTCGCTAAACCACTATTTTTCATCGCTACAGTTGTGTAGCGATGGATTCAAGTTTGTCTCTAAAATGCTTGTAGCTGGGCTCATAGCGACAAAAAATAATAATCCGTCGCAGAATTAGCAACGGAATATATCTGTAGCAAAATTTAGCGATAGAAATAACCGTTGCTATATTGCTTGTTTCTGTCGCTATTTTGACGACTTTTGTCGTTACAATACTTAACAAAATTCATCGTTTGTTCTTAGTAGCGACGAAATCGTCCGTCGCTAGTCGTGTTATAGCTAATTTGCGCTGCTTTTTGCAACAAAAACCTTTTGTCGCCAATTCATCGCAAGATTTAATTTTATGCGGTAATATTAGCTACGGAAAGTATGTGTCGCTAATTTATTTTTAATCTATTGCTAATTTCTTAAAATTCTTTTTATTTATTATTTTAAATGTACCTTATTCAAGCATATTACATAAAAGCTATTAAATACACTTAATAAAAAGTTAATGATATTAATATAAATTAACAATATATTCAACAAGGTCCAAAATATATAGAATAATGCATATAATGGTATCGTTAAGTACAAAAAATTCACAAGGACCAACAATAAAGTCCAAACAAAATAGGCTAACTATGCGAGGCTGGAGAGTTACGGTAATTATCAGAACCCAATGCATGAACCTCGTCAATGTTAGCAGTAGTAGAAGATATAGGAACTGTAGGTGCCATATCTGATGGGTGGTTGGTAAGATCAATATTTGGCTGATGCGAGGGTAAGAAAACTAATTCACGTACCCGCTCAACGATTACAGGAACTATATGATCTGTTAGTGCAAGAATCAATCGCATCACTAACTCATCCAGATTCCATGTCGGTGTTGAATGAGCATTTGGAGGTGTTGCTGACGATGTAGCATCAGATCCAAAAGAGTCATGAAGATTTGGCCCGTAGTAGCATTTAGCTTGAGATCCAAGACCATATACTCTTCTTTTCTTTTCTCCTCCTGCGGCTTGATAATATGCTTTACACTGATAAATATCAGATTGAGTATGTATTTGTTATTGTAATATCTCCTGGTATTTTTTTTGTAGAAGAGTTAATAATTAGTGAAATAGAAAGACTAAAGAATATTGAGCATTCAATTTACAAAATAAAAAAATATATGAAAGTCAAGCCAATAAAATTATTTAAAAAATTATCTTACATGTACGATTAGAGATTTCTCAGCAATAGAATATTTTTCATCATTACCATGTGTATGGATATGCAAATGCAACTCACTTGCTGTTGGATCTCGACCCTTTTTAATGATCTATACCAAAATGATTTCAATTAAGAAGATTGGCAAAAAATCGTTTGTGTAAAAATGAGATTGGAATAACATAAAGGAAATACTAGTCTTTGTTGATCCATAATAACAACTATAGCCAACTGTTTTTGCCTCATATTTCATTCCGTAAAGAAGCATTCATGTACTGCCAATTAAAGGTATTGACTAGCCAGCCTAACTTGAACAGTGACTTAATACCTTTATAGCATACTAATAAAAGAAAGCCACTTCACAACGAATAGGCTAGATTATATAACAATTGCTGGGAAAAAACTTTGAATTCCCAATTGACAGAGGAAGTTTAATAGGCTAGATTATATAAGCTGAATCAATTTTGAGTGGAATGGTGCTCACTTAAGCATATTATCTTCAGATAATAAACAACCATTCTACTCCCTGCATGTCCACAACTGAATCATTCTCCTCAGAACAAATTGCAGTATCACCAAATTGCTGGGGATTTGATTCAACATCTTGTTTGCTTTCATCATGTATGTCAACATCCAAATTATATTTACACATCAGCCGTTCTTCCACTGTGGTTGGAATAGAGCTTTAACAGTAATACCCTTAATGTGAAAGGTGAGTTGCATTAAACTTGACTTTATTAGGCATCAATAATGCAACATAAAATCTGTATTCTGATAGATAATACAAATATCCCTATCAGAAATGACCAAACAATCGCACTAAGTGCATTATCACACCAAGTGAAGAGAGGCATCAGGCATGTCTAGTCAGTCACTTGATATCCTTCAACAAGTGAAGCAATTTTGGTCACTTGACGACCAAACAATTTTCAATGGATACGAAGCCTCAAGCCAATGGTGAGCTAAAAGCACCTTTTTGGGGGTTCTATCGAAGACTTATATGGATGGATCCTTTTAGATCTACGGGCCGGCCGGCCCTGGCCAGCCACCGGGTACCGGCCTCGTGAACGCATTCGCTAAAGGCACTACTGGCCGGCTTTCTCAATCTTCAATCTAACTAATTCATGAATTGAATCAAATTGGGCCTTTTAATTAAACTAATTTTAACTTAATTAAACAAAAAAGTCACGCTCTTTAAACGCCCTATAGGAAAAAAAGAAGAAAGAGGAGTTTACGTCCATCCTTGGTTGGGTACAGTTTTGTTTTTGCCCTAAACTAAGAAAGAGTATAGTGCTCGTTTTGATAAGAGTATTACATACTATCTGCTGGAATGTTTTCAATGTCCCTCTTATGCAACTACGGGAATTTCTTCTGGTTCTCTACTATCTTTTCCTATAGCTCACGACTGACCTTGAACTGGCCAAAAAGCTTTCTATTTGAACGGAATTCCACAATTGCAGAAGCTTCGGTCTCGATCGATTATACTTTTGGTTAATTGGGTAGGTGTCGATAGCAATAGAATCTTTGCTTTGGTCCATACCACGAAACAAGCAAAGATCGGGCGTGACCCCTACCCTAACAGAACGCTCGCCCTTCCATGCGTTAAGCTGGGCCAAATCTCCGCTTAGAAAAGAAGTCTAAGTTTACTTTTTGCGAAAGGGAAAATGGCTTTCTGTACAATGAAGTGTATCGATCCTCCCCGGCCTCTTCTCTTTTTAGTGGGTGAGGAGCTCGGATCTGATCGTAGATAGAGACTTCAACCTGTGCGGGGGTAGGGGCGGATGTAGCCAAGTGAATCAAGACAGTGGATTGTGAATCCACCACGCGCGAGTTCAAATTATGTTCATGCTTCAGACGATCTGGCTAATTCTATATACAACTATCTAATTTTCTTCTATTATATATAAAGGCGTAAGGGCGAAGGCCTATTTAGCGCCTTGGAAAAGGTAACCGGTTAGGTTGACTGTAGATTTTTCAGTTTGTCGGTCCCCGATTATAAGTTCTCGTTGACCACGACAAGGGATACATATTACTTGAAAAAATATTATTTACATATACATTTGCGATTTCTTTCACCAAGGTGATGTCAAATGATATCTTTTTATCCAACTCATTCAGGTAGAAGGTTCAAATCCCACCAAAAGTCCTCATAAGTTACTTAATAAGTTAATAATGAAGAGTAAATAGCTCAGATCTTAACCCACAATTTGATGCAACAAGATTTACGCCACTCTGCACATAAGATTCTAAAATATGTTTCAAATACACGTGAAAACTTGTTCACTCATAAGCCCATCTGTTATAAAAATTAGCAGCATATATTACCTTAATAATAAGTTTCAAGTAACTCATAGTAGGAAACCCCATTAGAACTGAAAGGTAAACAGAAATAAACAACAAATTGACCTTGTCTGTTTAACTTCTCCTAAAACAAGTTATTGCCTCCCATTTCAGTTTTCTTCTACCAAAGAAGATAAGTTTGCTTTTTTACCACTTCTTAGTTTGTAGAGTTACTCACTGTAACAAAGCTGGCAAGCAAAAGAAAAGCTTCTGGAAATTATGAGTAAAACAATTAAAGAAAAAAAGAGGGTAGTGCATACCGTGTTCCAGCAAAATGCCGAGAACGCCTAGAAACAAGAGAAACACTGAAGTCTTTTCCAAATATTGATAGCCTAGTCCGTAGACAAAAACACTTTAAAGCTCAAAACAACGACCTAATTCTCGCGTCCATACCAAAATCTGGCACTACATCGCTAAAAGCACTCACTTTCTCCATTGTAAACCGCATTCACTTTCCTATATGAATCATTCACATAATTATGCTCTATTGAGACTCATTCATAAGTACAAAAACGACGATTCATCTTTTGAAGGCAAATTTGGGAATCTTTATAACTAGAAAAGTTTTAATCTAACTCTTATTGTTACAAGGACATACAATCCCTAAAATCAACGCACCAGTCAAACAAAAAATACCATATCAAAAATTGCTCAACATAATTATATAAAGAGAAAGAAAAACAAACAAAAAAGAAACTTTACCTAACCAAAGATAAGAATAATGGTGTAGAAAAAATAAAAAATCAGTAAAGATGAGGGCTTTCATCTGAGAATCTTGAGGAGCAGCAAACTTAAAGGGAAGAATGAGGATCAGGAACGCACCTTACTTCGAATTTCTTGGCAAGTTCAGAATTCTGCAGTAATATTTTTGCAATTTCGAAAGTTTTCTTCTATTCACTATCTAATATTTTTGTTTCCCATTGCATATAAGCCTTAGATTCATACCCAATTTTTTGTATTTGAAGAAACAAACTCACATTGTTGAAGAGAGTGCAAGTGGGAGTCTGATAGAGAAGAGAGAAAGTGGGCGTGTTTGTGCCCTAACTTTTGGAATGTCTTTTAACTAGGGAAATTTTATTTTTAGGGCAAAAATTTTAGCAACGGAAATAGCGACGGACATAATCTCCGTCGCGAATAATAACCAGGAAAATTTTATTTTTAAAAAACTAGCGACGAAAAATTTCGTCGCAACTAACTTTGGAATGTCTTGATAAGTAAAATGAATGCATCGACGGATTTTTTGACATTAAATCCGTCGCTAAGTTTTAATAATTTTTGTCGCCCTAATTGCATCGCTAATTTTGTAGGTGAAATAAAGGCGCTAATTTTTAGCGCCAATTTTTAGCGACGAATATATGATTTTTTCGCTAATTCATCGCTATATTTGATACGAATTCTTTTGTAGCTTATTTGGCGACAAACTATAAAATTCATCGCTAATCCGTCGTTATTTAGCTACGGAATATCGCTTGTCGCTAAACGCTATTTTTTGTAGCGAACAAATCTCTTGTCACGGCTCAAAATTTTACCAATAGTCGTGATGGCACCCAACCTCCAAGATTAGGTAAGACAATCACACAATAATATGAAAACAATAAAATAAGATATAAAAAGTTTGAATTTAACATAAACAGCGGAATAAAGCTCTAATAAAGCCAATACAGAGGTACATAAGTCAAACTCCTAAAATCAGATAATACGGAGTCATGAGCTCTAAGCTGAATACATAACGAATCTCAAAAAGTATAATACTATATGGAAGTAATACAACAGTATGAAAGTAAGGAAAATGGACTCCAAGGGTCTACAACATCCATGCAACACTACCTTAATACTCTCAAACAGTCAAAAGCTTACTCTTGAGGTCCGCTACCTCCAATACCCGGATCTGCATAAAATATATATAAAAGTGTAGTATGAGTACAAGATAACATGTACTCAGTAAGTATCAAGACTAACCTCGGTGAAGTATGACGGGGTTTAAGTTATGTGATACTGACTAATCAGAGAACCTGTGCAATACATCTAATAACTTGCAACAAGAATATAACAATGAAACTCAAATGTATGAGATATCAACTCAACATAGGTAAATTCGTCCTGACTATTAAATCTTCAACTGATAATAGAGGCATAGGATAACATGTTAAATATAACGTGAAAATATGTTTAAATGCATGACGAGGACTAAAGAATGCATGTGTATGAACAAGAATGCCATCCTTATACCGTCACATGAACATCAAGAGTGGAATGCAACCCTTATACTCCACACATCATCAATAGTGAAATGTCACACTTATACTCCACACAATATCAACAGTGAAATGCCTCTCTTACACTCTGCACATCATAATTAATCAAAACAATCATGGTACCACATTATGCGTGCACGCTATCAAGAGAGAAACATGAGAGAGTGGCCCTAGGAGGATGGATCCTTATCCACACGTTGTATGACAACAACCCATGCATAGCAATTATCACAATCACACGGCAAAGACTTCGTGCCACAATATCATCACAGTTGTACGACAAAAACCTCGTGCCAACACCCAATCAATCTGCTCAAATTATCCAAACGTGCCATGATCATAACAATGCTTTGCCAAATTATCATCAAAAGACATGCTCATAATTCGTCAACAAGGTTCACAAAGACATGATAAAAATAAAATGCGGATTAGTGTTCAACGTATAAATCATGACTATAGCTAAATCAATTGTAGCAACTAATTCATGTAGTCATAGAATGATTAAACGTGTTTCATATAAAACAAATCATCAAGATAAGGCATATTAGAAGCCTAAGATCTAATTCGGATATAACTACACATAGCACCCATATACAAGTTCGGCACCTTGTGTACACGTCACTTTTCACATAAAATAATTAATCAAACAAGCCAACTCCTAAAGGTTATTCTCTCACACAAGATTAGGCAAGATACTTACCTCAAACATGCCAAATCAACCCTCCAAAATCTCTTGTCCTTTAGAAATCACCTCCGGCTGGCTCGAATCTAACCAAAAATAACTCAATAACGTCAAACAAAGGCATAGAAAATAACTCCAAACAATAAAGTTTCGATCTTTAATCAAATCTCCAAAAGTCATCAAAAGTCAATCCGGGTCCACATGGTCAAAACCCAAGTCAAGGGATAGATCCCGACAACACATAGCCCCACGAGCCCAAATATATGATTAGATTCCAAAATCGAGTCCAAAACGATTCCCAAATCAAATTTTTACTTTCTTAAGTTGTAGACAAAAACCCAAATTTTCCATTTAAAAATCCACGTTTTTGGTGTAGAAATTCATAGGGATTCAACATATAAAGCCAAATCCAAGTGAAAATTGCTTACCTCAAATATAGTCGTAAAATTGCTCTTCAAAATCTCCATCACTCAAAGTTTAGGGTTCAAAATATAAGAGAATTTGTAAAATCCCCAAATTACAACACTTATAAGTCTGCCTAGCGATACCATTCATGAACGTGGCAACTGTCTCGTGTTCATGACGCACAAAATTCCACAGCCTCAAATTAACCCTTCGCGAACGCAGCTACCCCTCGTGATCGCGATACAAAGTCGCTCCAGGCATGCGCTAACACGAGCATACTCCCCCGAACGTGAAGACCAAGCTCCAGCCATCCCCCAGCGTGCCACCATTCTACGTGAACACGACTACCTAGGCATAAACGCAAAGGACAATCAGCTACAATCCAACGTGAATGCGACACCCAGTCGCGAACGTGAAGCACAAACCTTCCCAACACCAAAATGCCATCTGTGATCGTGGTTCAACCTCCACAATCGCCAAGAAGGGCCTCACACTAGCAAAAATCTGCAACTTTCAAAATGCTCCAGGTGGTCTGAAATCAGACCGCCCGGGACCTCATCTGTGATGGCCCGATAGGTAATCTAGAGTTTTAAATCTTAATTATGTGTTTTAAAACCTCAAATAGCTTCTTTTTGCCTTCCTTTATTTGTGTGCACAGTCAGTGCCTTTTTACGGAAAGCTTTTATGCGAAAAATTAATTAAAATGTGAATTAGTGCCTTAAAAATCTATTTGAGTTGACTTCGGTCAATGTTTTGAGCAAATAGACCCGGATACATGTTTTTATGGTCCCGGTGGATCCGTATTGTGATTTAGGACTTGGGCGTATGCCCGAAGTCGAATTCAAAGGTCCCTAGCTTGAGTTATCGCAATTTGTTGAAAATTTGAAGTTTAAAGAATTTATAAATTAGACTGATGTTTGACTTTATTGATACCGGATCCGTATTTTAGTTTTGGAACTTGTTATAGGTCCATTATGATATTTATGACTTGTCTGCCAAATTTGGTACAAAACAGAAGTGATTTGACGTGATTGGGATGTCTGGTTGTTAAAATAGAAATTCTTAAGTTTCATTGAAAATTTCATTTGATTTGGTGTCCGATTCATAGTTCTAGGTGTTATTTTGGTGTTTTGATAAAGCGAGCGAGTTTGTATGAGGTGTTTGGACCTGTGTACATATATGGTTAGGAGCCCCGAGGGCTCGGGTGAGTTTCGGATAGCCTACGGACCATTTGAACTTAGAACATTTCTGGTTTCTTGAGCTTCTTCTTTATCTGGTGTCATGTGCTTTGTGATCGTGAAGGGGAGTTTGGGACAGGGCAGAATTTTCTTCATTGCGAATGCGATAGTTGGGTCTCTAAAGTTGGCTTGCCTAGCAAGTGAAATGTTAGGGGCCATCTCGGTCCCTAAGGTGGAAATTCCGGGTCGTGACAAGTTAGAATCAGAACACTAGGTTACCTAGGTCTCATGAGTCATGAGCAGGCTTAGTAGAGTCTGGAGGATCGGTACTGTACTTATCTTCCAAAGGCTACGGAGTTTAGGAACAATTTCACTTCTATTCTTTTCTGTAATGCGATTTTATTCTATTATTGGTGATTGAACTCTTCTACTCTTGTTCTCTCACAGATGGCGAGAACACGTACTATATCTTCAACTGGACCGTAGCCGGAGCCCCCAGTGGCAGCTCCTATGAGGGGCAGAGGTCGAGGCCAAGGTCGCGCCAGAGGCCGAGGAAGAGGTAGAGCTCAGCCTAGAGCTAGAGCAGCAACACCAGCAGTAGAGCCTCGGGTAGATTTTGATGAGGAGGTTCCAGTTCAAACTGTACCTGTTGGACTAGCTCAGGTCCCGGAGGGGTTCATAGCCACTCTAGTGCTTCAGGACGCTCTAGTGCATTTGGTGGGCCTTATGGAGAGTGTGGCCTAGACCGGTACCTTCCCGGTGGCACTAGCCGTCTCTCGAGCTGGGGGAGGAGCACAGACTCTCGCTACTCACACTTCGGAGCACATGGCTCCCTAGTATCAGACTCCAGCAGCCCCGCCAGTTAGGGTAGTTCAGTCGGTTGTTGCGGCACAGGCCGATGATGGACTTGTCATTTCTTCTGAGGCTTTATTGAGTTTGGACAAGTTTACTATGATCTTTCCAGTTCACTTCAGTGGTGCACCTTCATAGGACCCACATGATTATCTTGACCGCTGCCGTGAGGTGTTGTGGAATATGGGTATAGTTGAGACCAATGGGGTCGATTTTGCTGTGTTTCAGATGACGTGTTCCGCCAAGAGGCGGTGGAGAGATTATATGTTGACCAGACTAGCTGGGTTGCCTCCACTTACTTGGGATCAATTCTCACAGCTATTTCTTGAGAAGTTCCTCCTTATCACATTGAGAGAGGATTACTACATGCAGTTTGAGTTTCTCCAGCAGGGCAATATGACTTTTACTAAGTACGAGACCCCTTTTATGGATCTAGCCTGCCATGCTCTTCTTTTGCTTACTACAAAGAGAGAGAGAGGGCGAGGAGGTTTATTGATAGACTCACTCTCCTTATCAGGCTACACATCCCCAAGGAGACCGAGAGTGAGATTTTCTTTTAGACGGCTGCTAATGTTGCTAGGAGGATCGAGATGGTTCTTGCACATGAGATAGGGCACGAGTCCGATAAGAGGCCTCATCATTTCAGTGGGTTCAGTGGTGCCTCGTCTGGAGGCATGGGT